TGTAATTGAGAAGTCAGATTTTTTGAGTGATGTTGATGGGATGTAGTAATTATTTATTGAGTGTCTTGTTTCATATTTATGGTTAATTAGAGAGAAACCTTTATAAAAATATTTTGGAATTAGTTCATTTTGAAGTTTAAACATAAATAACAAGTTATGGTATATATTTAGTTCGTATACGTTTAGCGCATTAATTTCCTTGAGTAACGGCTTGGCACTTTCGTACCTATCTGCGCCCAAAACTAATCGACTTGCTTGCTTTTGTTTAGTATAAATATTTTTTAGGAAAGATGAATGATTGTTTGCCCAGACAATATTACAATAGTTAATATGACTATGTATAAATGAAAAGTATAAGTTTTTTAAACATATTTTATTCAAAAGATGTTTTGTCCTGTACATAATCCCCACAGACTTTGAAACTTTGTTCTCGACTAACTTTATTTGGCTTTTCCAATTTAAATGTTCATCGAAATTTATTCCTAGTATTTTCATTGAAAAAACTCTTTTTATTTTAATATTGTTAATTGTTAGTTCTGGAAGTTTAAGTGGAAGGTTCTCGGATTGAGATGGTTTAGCAAACAAAATATATTTAGTTTTTTCAATATTTAATGATAGTTTATTTGCTATAAACCACTCATTAAGATATATTAGTTCAGCGTTTACATAATAAAAAATATTTTTTAAATTTGAGTCAGAAAAGAAAACATTAGTGTCATCAGCAAAAATAGTATAATTAAGTATTTTTGAAGACAAAAAAATATCATTGATATAAACTAAAAACAATAAAGGTCCAAGTATTGATCCTTGTGGAACTCCGCAACTTATTGATTCAAATGGGGAGCATGTTAGATCATATGGTACACCTTGTTTACGGTTTTCTAAATAACATTGAAGCCACTTTAAATTAGAGTGAACTACTCCGTAACTACGTAGTTTGTAGATAAGAATCTTGTGGTTTACAGTATCAAATGCCTTTGATAGATCTAGAAAAATTCCAAGTGTGTAACAATTGTTTTCAAAACCTTGTAAAATTTGGTTCGCAAGATCAATTACGGCATGTTCCGTAGAATGGTTTTTTCGAAAACCAAACTGTTTATGATAAAGAATATTATTTTTTTCAAGATAATTGTACAGCCTGTTGAACATAATACGCTCTAATATTTTGGAAAAACAGGAAAGTATGGAAATTACCTAATTTCTTTCTGCAAGAAATCTTGAATTCCGTGGTTCAGACACAGCCATCGGTTCAAAGAGCAATGGAAACTTTTTTGGGGTGTTTGAATTACTGCCTAAGTAGGTTACCGTTATCAATGAGCTTGTGCAAAGAATTCAGGACAAAGAAACGAAGGAGCACTATTTGAGCAATGACACACAGAACGAGGTTTGAGGAGGAGATTGAATCCAAAAACATGTCTTAGGTAAAAAAAGCAAAATACTATATTATTATTTTTGTATATTATAGATTGTACGCCATGCATTTTGCACAAAGAACAATTGAGCATAAGTCATCTATCATTGTAATTTCTTTTTTTGGTGTTCTTTCAAGGTTAAATAAACTCTTCTTACTGTCTGCACCTCGATGGGAAACTTTAAAATTGTGCGTGGTTGTTTCTTTCAAGCCACAATCAGATACCAGATGGGAAAGTGGAATAAACTGTGTTAAACCACTTCACTGTTATTAAAAATAAATCTTAGAGGCACTCAAAAGTTTGGAAGATTATGACTTTGGAAGAGAAGAGAGATGGGGCTAGAGCCACAGAACTACGATTGCTCACGGAATATATTAGAACATGGTCTTCCTTATTATCAATCATTTTTGGTATGATGTTTTATTACAAATCAACAAATCAAGTAAGCTTTTTCAGTCTTCTGCAATCTCTCTTGACATATTAGCTAGTGAAATATAGTCAACAAATACATTTCTTTATGAGTATCGCAAAAATGTATTTTCCGACGCACGTATTAAGGCATCAGAAATCGCAGAAGTATTGGACATTGAAATGGTTTTTCCAATAGTACGTTTACGAAAAAAAATGTCGATTTATTCAAGCGAGTGTGTTAATCACACTTGGCAACCAGAACATCAGTATAAAGCATTATAAAGCAGATATTTGGCTATAATTGAAAAGTCAAATTCATTAGTAAAAGAGCCTTTTGAACAGATAAGCATTGTCACAAAGCTTAATGACTTTCTTTACCAATCTGAGAGTCTTACCAAAACCTATAATGAAAATTCTTTGTCTATATATTGCAAATGAAGTTTGGTAATATAGATTTTGAGAATTTAGAAATGGAGTTAAAACGATTTGTCATAATTAACAAGAATAAAAAAAATATCTTAAAGAAGAGCTGCAAGAAACATATCTCAATTTAGTTGTTGCGTTACGAATCATTCTTACTTTTCCAGTTACTGTTGCAAGTGCAGATCGTAGCTTTAGCAAGTTAAAACTAATTAAAACTTTTCATAGGTTAGTATAAATAATCTTGCTTCATTATACATAAATACATGTAGGTATATTTCTTTGTATCTTTAAAAAGGTCAACAATGGTCGATGAACGTTTGTCTTCTTTAGCAACGCCATCGATTGAAATTGATGTTGCAAGGAAATTAAGTTATAAAGGCATAATAAATGAGTTTGCAAGTATGAAAACACGTCGCAAACTCTTTTTTGATGGTTTACGACTTACTTGTATTACCTGCGTAATACATTAACAGTATTTAAAAAAACTCTTTACTAGTAAACTCTATATCAATTTAACAACTATAAAATATATTTAATCGAATTTAAGTGTTAATTTGATTGTTTTTAGTCTTTTGAACGGCGACGTTAAAATATGTCAGGTACCCTGCTTTTTGGGGTAATCTGTAAATTTTATCCACTTTTAAAAAAAAATAAAATAAAATTGGGGCCCAAATGGCTAGTTTTTTTTTTTAGGAGGAGGAGGGGGGGGAAGACCCAATTGCCACGGCACTGTTAGGGTGATTCCCTTAATGATTATTTTGTTTATTATTAACATAGTTAAAGAACTTACTGAGTTTATTGTCATCAACTAATTTGAGTTCGATTCTTTTGAGATAAGCAAACAAGAATTGTTTACATTTGATGGCGTGTGTTTTGTAAGCTTGTCTATGTAAAATGGTTTTATTGACGGAATATCTTTTCCGTAAAAATAACTTCCGACTTAAGATTTTTTTGATATATTTAGGGTAAGGATGTCTCTTTGTACTATGACGTATTTTTCTTACCGGAACGAAACGGTCTATCCCAATTCTAATATGATTAGAGAAAATGTTCCAATATTCATCAATATTCAATACATAATAAAACTCGTAGTCCAATTAATATTTGAAAGTTCTTATTAAGAAGCGCTCACATATCAAATTTGATATTAAAAAACAGATGAGCTATTTCTAATTAACTAAAATGCATTAATTTTTTAAAAAAGGTAGAGTTTTATAGGTAATTGCATTTTTTAAAAAAAGTAGTTAGAAAAGCGAAAATATGGGAAAAACGTCGGTTTCCTTTTTAAAATTATTCAGAAAAACGACGCTAAAAATTACAGCTCGCGTAGGTTTTTGTTTACTCGCGGCGCCTCAGATCTATAACAATGCGTTAAACGTCAATCTTTAATATAATGAAATAAATATTCTAAATGCTTAACGAAGTTACATTATTACAACTGAAATTAGAAACATTTTCCAAAGGTAATAGTTTTATTTCATTAAAAAAATTATTTCGCCACTGACATACTAAAAAATAGTTAAAAAAGGCTTCCACTTTAGAATAAAATTAAAACGTTAAAAAACGGAACCTTTCTATTTTCACAGACTTGTCTACAAACTTTGCCTTATGTTCCGTAAAAATAATTTAACGGACTATTTTTACTCCGTAAATTTTACGAACAACTCAGTTCAACTCAGTTTACTCTAAAAACGAGTGAACTCGTTTTTAGAGTAAACTACATTTTAGTTCCGTTTTTTCGCAACGCACACGCCGACACTATAGTTTTCTACCTAAATAACATTGATTTGATTAATGATTAAATCAAAGAGCGCGTTCCCAACAAAATTGCATGTGTTTTAAGACGCCGTGTCATGCGCTGAACGATCTCCAAATCAATTTGAAAATTAGATAACCATCTGAAATTTAAATATTTAAACTAAATACAACAATTATGTTATTATATTACTGTGTCTATAGTTTATATAACTTTATTGAAGTTATTAGTTATTTAATAGCATCAATAACATCTTTTTGCGCCTCGTGTGGATAGCAAGCGCCTTGATTGCTTTAATTGTAGCCCTAGCCCAGCTAAGGCTAAAATTTAAGAAAACAACTTAGAATCTTTTTAATAATGAAAAAAATTTCATTCTAACGCACCGTTTAAAAAAAATATTTTAAGAATTGCTTTACTGGCTTTTTTGAGTAATACTCAAACAATGAATCCAATCAAAAATGTTTTATTAACAAATACTTTAACTCCCTCATGGGAAAATAAAATATTTATAAATAAAGGATTTTTTTTTTTTTAATCGTATCATATTAATAGGAATTAATATGTGACATTTGAAAAAAGAAGTAATTTTTTAAGCATTTGTTTTTTTTTTAGTTTTACATTTTGTTGATCTTTTTTAGGAAAAGATTCTTTTCTAAAATTACAGGCCCAAAATAAATAAAGTGAAATGGCGATTAAGTTCCGAGCTACTCAAGCTAAACCACATTTTCGAAAGTTTTATAAAATTGTAAACTAACACTAGCACAGTTTTAATTTTAACTAATGAATTAAACCAAATAATATAAAAACTTAGTTCTTTTACGGTTTTTAATACAGCATAGATACAATATTATTTAAAATAGATATTTAAAAAATCTGAAATTTGTCTAAAACCAGTGTTTTTTAAACCATATATTTAAGCCATATATTTATCTAATCACAACTTTTCAAACTTAATTTTAACCTCCGCTCATTAATATTATAGTATTATTAGTCAATAGTATTTAAAGTGTCTATATCTTTATGTGAATCACAAAAAAGAACGGATGAAATAGCATTCAAATCTTATAAGAAGTTGACATGAAGCAATTGTTTTATATAATATTAAACAAAAGTTCTATAAGGCGGTTGCCACTGTAGTGGTTGTTGTCGCATAGTTTATGCTGTCTCAGTAGTTGTGGTAGAATCAGTTGTAGTTGTTGTAGACTCAGCTGCAGTTGTTGTAGAATCAGATGTAGCTGTTGTAGAATCAGTTGTAGTTGTTGTAGACTCAGCTGTAGTTGTTGTAGAATCAGTTGTAGTTGTTGTAGACTCAGTTGTAGTTGTTATAGAATCAGATGTAGCTATTGTAGAATCAGATGTAGCTGTTGTAGAATCAGTTGTAGTTGTTGTAGAATCAGCTGAAGTTGTTGTAGAATCAGTTGTAGTTGTTGTAGACTCAGCTGTAGTTGTTGTAGAATCAGTTGTAGCTGTTGTAGACTCAGCTGTAGTTGTTGTAGAATCAGATGTAAATGTTGTAGAACCAGATGTAGCTGTTGTAGAATCAGTTGTAGTTGTTGTAGAATTAGCTGTAGTTGTTGTAGGGTCAGTTCTGGTTGATGAGATAGTAGTTGTTGTTGATGTTCGAGTTTGAAACTTCGGGCACGAATAATCAACTACAAAACAAAGCTCTTCATCGTAGTAAAGTTTGCAAAATCTTCTAAGAAACCAGCAGGAAATCATATCTGTAAACAATAAAATATTTAAATAAAAATAATGTTTTAATTAAAATACTGGATTTTTCAGTGTTAGTATTTTTAGTTGTCGAAAATAAGAAGTTGTGAGAAAGGTTTCTTTTAATCCCAAACATTTTATGTGTGATTTTGTTAAAATTTTAAACATTTTGAAATGTGTTTTCATTAAATTATTACATTCTCTCTTAATTATACACAAAATATTTACTCATAAAATTAAATAAAAATTATTATTTGCGTATATATGTACGTTTGGGGTATAAATTTTGCATAAATTTTAGCATGCCATTTTTACAGTCGCGAAACAATTTATTTTTGCCAAAAAAAATTGTCTGTTATTTTAATTTTTCTATTTTGATTTATGTATTCAAAAGTAATTTTTGTTTAAGAAAAGGGTATTTTTATGAAAAATAAAAAAACCCTTTTTAAAAATTACTAAATATATATTTAGTAATTTTTAAATAATAAATATTATTATAAATATATTAAATTTTTTTATTTTTATGAAAAATAAAAAAATTTAATATATTTATAATAATATTTATTATTTAAAAATTACTAAATATATATTTCAGACCAACATTTGGTGATTACCCATTTAGGCTCTATAATAGCAAGACCCTATTTGGCTTTTGATGCATTTTTCATGGATTGGATGGATTTTTCATGATGGATTCTTTCTAATAAATACACTTTATTTGTAATATTTTATTTAAATATTTCCTTCTTTAGGAGAACCCTAACATTTTCTATAGGATTTAGTTCAGGAGATTCGCCTGGCTAATCAAGTAATGGAATATTCTGTTCGGATAAATTTTTTTTATTTGATACAGCCGTGTGAAATAATGCCCCATCCTGCATGAAGGTTTTTTTTTTAGTTGGACCAAACTATTCTGCAAATTGTGGCAGAATAGTTTGGTCCAGGTGAAAAAACACAATTTTGAGGACTTTTTTCCTCAACAATATAGAGCCTCGCCATTCCCCTCACATAATACTGACCAGATCATCACATAAGTGGGGTTTTTTAACAGTTTTAATGATGTAGTCCAATAAGTATTTTTACCCATTTTTTCTTTTTACATATTGAGCCTAGTTTGTTAACACTTGAAAATTATTCCCGTCGCTAAAGCATACTTTAAAATATGATGTAAGATAGTGAATATTTAAAAAGCGATTTGAATTAATTTTACTTCTCCTTCTTTTAGAAAAATAAAGCTTAGCTGGAGAGAGAAGGGAGCCGAAAATGGATCTAAATCGCGTTACAGTCTTTGTAGTATAATTATCCAGTAGCAAGTCAAAATCTCCAACCATCTTCCATTAAATATCTGTACTTTTTTGTCCACTCTAGTCGTTTTGGCATCATTTTGTCAGTTTCATCTTAGCTGGACGTCGTTTAATGAAACCGAGATGGCAATGATCAGTTATTTTATTGTTGTTGTCCTACTTATTTTTAAGAACAATCATGGTAAGTATTCTTTTCCTGCGTGATTTTTTCCTTTAACATTTACCAACCCACTTTGGTGTCAAGTTCTCAATATTAGCTATTTTTTTGTTTATATTTTGAACAGAAGCCCCCGAAATACCACTTTTTCAAAAAATTTATTGTTGAGAAAAAATAGTATTTATTAAAAGTGCTCTAATTTGAGCATTTTTTGTGGTAACAAGTACTTTTTTTCCCCATAACTAAAATAAAGTATATCATTTCAGTAATACAGTAACGCTTTAGCTCCCCCACACCCCCAATTTTGAGGCAGGAAGGTTCAACAAATTTAGAGGGTCCATTTGCAAATTTAGGGACCCCTATTTTATTAAATCCTAATAAAATTATTTTTAAAATTTTTGGGGCCCTCATGGAAAGTGTTTTATTGGAGGAGTGCGGGGCCTCGGACCTAGTTGCCACAGCACTGCATTTAAGAATTTGCTTTGATACTCATAACTTTAAAAATATTATATCAAATACAATTATATTTACTTTAAAAATTAAATGTTATATCAATCTTGCCATATTTAAGCAGTCTTGCAATTTTGAAGTAATATTGTTTTGATTATCTTGTTTTTGAGATTTTATAAAAAAAACTAAAATTTTGCAACCAATTTTTTCATTACTAATTTTTGAAGTTTTAGATGATAAAATTATAAATGTTTAAAAAATATTTATATTAAAATTTTTATTGTGCTTATTGAGCATTAAAAACATATTTAAAATTTGAAAAAATCTAGAAATTAATTAGCGAGATATCTAATCATAAAACACAATAATGTAAAAAAAAAAAAATAATAAAATAAGTTAGCAAATTTTATTATCAAACAAACAAAAAACATAATAATAAACAAAATTTAAATACCTTTAGTAGCTGCTGTTAAAGCTGTAAAAATAAATAAATAAATAAGTAAATTTTTTGTAATACACTAAAATGCAGACGGATATGCAGTTTATATTTTTCATAATACTTTTAATCTTTTCTTTTCCCAAAAACCATTTCATTAAAACATCCTTTAACACATTTAACAATCCAGTTTAAGAAATGCATTTGTTCATTTCAACCAAAAAAAAATTTTTTAACAAAAAAAAATCATCTAACAACAAAACCTAATTAAAATATTTTTTTTTGTATCCACATCGTTCAATTTAAATAAAATTTAAACTAATTTATGTAATGTAGCATCAGTTGACTTTTTGAAAGTGAAAAATTAAAATTCTCAAAATTACTTTTTAAGAAATTCAACAGAATAAAAAAGTTTTTTAGGTTATTTACATGATCGGCGTTTTTTTTTTAAATCTATTTTGACAATAAATTTGGCAAAACAGATTAAAAGTAATTTTGGACCTGTTATGTCAAATTTATTGAAAATTTCATGATTCATTCTTTACATAGAAGATGTTCTGATCGTAAAAAAGATTTAGTTTTTTTTTCCTCCTCATAGATTTTTTTTCAATTTCTTTTGGGGGAAGATTACCCAAATTTTTTTAATTAACTAAATTAAGTCTTACTTTTAAATTGCTAACTACTTTTTTTACTTCTTAACAAGCACCATTGTTGATTATTTTGCAAAGTATGATGTGAATATATTTTTTGAAAAAAAAAACCTGCATAATTAGGGTATTACCATAATTATTTTTAAGCATAACTATCTTTTGATAAGTTGTTATTTTTTTATTTTGTAATTATGTTTTTGTCATTATAAAATTTAAAGACATTATTAAAAGCGAATATTTTCTGAAGCAATTTTGTCAAACATGTACCTCTTCAAATCGAGTGTGTTTAATTCTTCAGCAAGTTATAAAGAACTATATTCAACTTATGAATGTTTATCTAAGCAGAAAATAGTTCAGCAGTTGAAAGCCAAGAAGAAGCTCAGCTGACCATCAATACACTTAAATAAATGAGATCAGAGAATCAAGCTAAAGCTTTTTATGGAACAATCAAATTTAACGCTGAAAAATTCCTGTTCGCCTTCTATTCCATTATCATTATCACCTTCTATTCCATTATCACCTTCTATTCCAAGAAAATACTAAACTACAAATTTTTAGGGCTATATTTAAACGTAGATTGGTTATCAAAAATGAAGCACATCACCCTTCATGCCCAAAAAAATATTATCGTGCGATAAATGTCAGATCAGGTTATCCTGCTAATGGCAAGGGTGAGTCCAGACTATGTCGTTAAGGGGGGAAAATATAAACTTTTTTTAATTTGAGGGATTCGAACAATTTAGTAGGAAGAGGAGGGGAGGAGGGGGGCAATTTTCAGATATTATGATTTGTAAGCAAGTAATCACACAAATTTGCCCCATTTAATTTTATTAAAATTTTAATTTAGACAACCTAACAATATTGTTTTCAAACAGCTTGCTGTTAACTTACAAATAAACTTACAAAAATAAAAATGTAAAAATTTTCTAAAGATACGGGGGCCAAGTACGACCTGCTTCATGTTCTGCTGCCTTGTAGGATTTTTTAGGCAAAGGTTTGGAGAAGTCAACTCCGACTTAAAACACCCTCTGACTTGAGGCTCTTGGTTAAGTAAAAGCTAGAGATGTCTCGATAAAAATACTCATCTTGGGCAGATGTTAAAAGCATACGGTTACTGTCTTGTAGAAGGGCTTGAAAAAGATCTCGCTTCTTATACAGCATGGGGCTCACGGTGCCTGGTGAACTTTAATTCTAATAAAACTCAATTTTTATTTTAAAAATTGTTATCAAAATAATATAGATCTTCCTATATTTATGAACAATAAAGTACTTATCTCTCATTCAACTTCAAGGACTAACTTTTACTTCCGAACTTCCTGGAAACCTTATATCAAATCCATTGCAAAATTAGTATCTGCTATGGTTGCACCTCTTTATTGAGCTTGACACTTTCTTACTCCGGAATCTATTATTTATCTCTATAAATCTCAAGTCCGTCCTTGTATGGAATACTGTTGCCACAGTAAAATCTACTAAAATTCATTCTCATGTTGCTCGTCATTCAATTAAGTGTCATCCTTTAACTGTGACTGTTCCTAAGTGCTCCAAAAGTTATTATTCATCTAGTTTTTTTCATCAAACATCAGTTATTTGGAATTTGCTTCCTTCATCTGGCTTTCCTGATTCATATAATTAGCAATCTTTTAAGTCGTCTGTCAATCGTTATCTTGCTCTATAAACTTCATCTTTTATCTTCCAGTAACTTTCAACTCATATAATGGTTGCTTGCAGCCTTTGTGGAAGCAAAAATATTAAAATAAAATGATTTGAGATTTTGGATTCCGTTATTACGGTAATCAAGGATAAATTTCACGAACCTAGTTTTGAAGCTTATCTAAAGATGGAGTCTATTTTACCTTTTGCACTGGCGTCATTACATGATCATCCCCCCATATATTTTTTGAGAGGAATTTTTTGAAAGTCAAGGTATTTATTTAGGTTTTATCATTTGAAGTCATTTTTTTGCTTTTAATGTTTTTCATGTATAGTTTTTTTTTTAAGTTGAAAATTATTTTTTACAAAAAAGAGGGTAAGGACTTCTATGGGTAACACTTTTTTACAGGTACAAAAAACTTCTTACTTCAGTAATTTTTACAAAAAGAGGTCTTCAAAATATGGTATAAAGATAAATTATATCTACTTCACAACCGGTGGGTGCTTAGCTTATTGTAAAATTAAAAATTATAATATAGCCAGTTGGATAAACATCTTCACAATTTTCAGGTTCGTGTGATTTAGTTATATAACACGTTAAAATGCAGCCTTTGTAAAACAGCTTTAAATCTAAACAAATGGTTTACGTGTATTATTAGATTTTCTAACTTTTTAATCGTTATACAGGACATCTTAAAAAACCATCCTTAAAAGTGAATTTATTATCAATCTTTACATTTTCACTAGTATGAAAAACGTTTGGAAGTTTCAGGTTTAAAATAAAATCTGGATTATAGTCTTGGTACAAGTAATACTGTTTGCCAGCTTAGAGATAGTTGCCGTCACTTCCATCCGCTAAAGTTGAAGTTAAAACTGGCCGCCATGCCTCCTCGTTATCAGATATTTAAAAATATTTAGAGTATTATCAGAGTTATAAACTATATTATCAGAGTTATAAACAGAAGACGAAAACAAGAACCATTTTAAATCTGCGTAAGCTCCATTTTTTTCAATAAAACGTTGAAGCACCTCTCACTTCATTTGGACTTCATTTGGATTTGAGGACCTCTCACTTCATTTGGACCGAAGGAAAAGCAAATTTGCAAGAATAGTGAATTGATAATGAAAGTTTAACTTATTTATTTTACATATTTTTTTGATCTAACACCTGCGTTTATTTTAGCAATGAATAAATAAAATTATTATTCCACCTGCTGGTAGTGAAAGAGCCCAAAGATTTTTTTGCTAAAAATCCATCCGTATTTTCTGCTACTCGGAAAATGCAGCTGAAAATATCTCCAATTAAAAGTTATAGGACCTGGCATCTTTTACTAAATTAATTTTATTTATTACACACATCTTTTTTTAGTATTGGTTTGTTACCTTCAAAGCCTATCCTTTAAACCATATTTATTTTACACTTCAATCTAATAGAATAAAACAAATCACATCAATAGTAGTTTTTCATTTTATTTCAGAAACAAAACAATATTATTAAAAAAAGGTTGCAGCATATGAAAAAGCAGTGGAGTCTGAAAATGCAGAAAAATCATAATTTTTCTTTAGTTAAACATTTGTTTTGAATAGTGGCTTCGCAGAGCCAATGCATTGAATCAACTAGACGTTGATATTTTTTGTGTGGGTATTGCGCACTATTCTTGTTGATTAGCTTCCCATTACTCCTGAGCAGTAGTTGAATTAGCATCAGAAACTAATTTTTAAACGTCACCCCATATGTTTTCAATGGGGTGCATAAGTTTTCAATTCATTGGTACGCAATACTATATGCCACTTATTGATGGGCCCATTCAGATGTCGGTTCGCAAACTGCAAACGTTTAGCGGCATACATTATTGTCATCAAAGAGACCTTTCGTAGACTGTGTGCATATAAACTGCTCTCTTTTAAGCGCCTACGAATAGTTTTGTCACTCACTTGTAATTCAAAATTATCTGTGTTTGGCCGATAAAAATGGTTTGCTTTTAACATATCTAACAATTCTTTAATTTTCTTGTGTCGAAGTCTTACCTTTTCCACCTCGTTTTTGGAACTTTTGATTTGTAATATGGCATTTGAAATCATCTTTGCTAAACATCGGTAAATCTTTTGTGTATATAAATAAGATATACCCTCTCTATAATGCTTCAAAATAATGTTGCATTTTACTGGTATGCAAAGATATTCTTAGTCCATTTTGAAATGTTTAGAAAACACTTTTACCATTGAGCATACACAAATAAATTAAGAATACACTATAATAGAAGTACATTTCTATGAAAATTACAAAAAATCTCTTTGTATTTTAAAAATTAACTTTATAATTAATAAACCACTGCTACTATTATACATTTCTTCAATTACAATAATTTTATCAAAAATAACGGTATTCTTGGTTGTATTAAACTCTTATTCGCTCAATTTACTTATCTCATTCTAACATATACACACATTAAATTCTATTCTTCCGATATTATAAAAATATAGTATTGCTCACAGTTGTATGTTAAATGTTGAAAATGGCTTTTAAACTGTAGCACCTAACGGAATTTACTCTGGAACCCAGCAAGTCCTTGCAAATGAATTCAGATCTACAAGCGACCAGCATTTATCAGGAAGTGGTCAAAAACTTGAAAGTGCTGGTGATGGTATTTAAATGACCATTTCGGAACAGTTGGTACTAAGTCGGTTGACGTTGTAATATTCCTCGTCATGGACGATGTCGCACAGTTTGAGCGA